AGAACATAATGTTCCTGCCCAGAAGTCAAACCTTTCCTCTGCGTGGCGGGCGTGAGAAGCAGCACAAGTAAAGGAGTGCCCTGTAGGGCGAAGTACAATATGGACTTCGTGAGCCCCGAGCCGCTACCGTAACCGCGAAGGCCTACAGGAAACTCTAAAATGGAGCTGACTAACGAGGCAATGGCATTCCCATTCCATGGACCACATATACAGAGACCCGACCATCCTTGCAGCCTTCTATATGGCAGACCTCATTCCACAAGAGGACATCCATAGGAACAAGGCACCTTTTTTGGCTGGTATTGTGATCAAGGTGTACGGACCAATCTGATTTGCTCCATGGACAAGACACCACCACTACCTCAGTTGGCCGGTATTGTGATCAGGGTGCACGGACCGATCTGCTCCATGGACAAGACATCACCACTAACTCAGTTGGCTGGTATTTTGATCAGGGTGCCCGGACCGATCTGATCTGCTCTATGGACAAGACACCAACACCACTAGAACATAATATTAATAAAGAAAGATTCGTTTAAACTCGGTTAATCTGATTAGAATATTATTCTATAGTCCCTTAATGTTGAAGTAATACATGTTAAAAAAGTAGACCATTCGTCTCTTTAACATTTTAAGAAAGGAATAAAAAGAGTAAAATGGATGAACCATCATTGGGATATAATAGAGCGTCTAGGAGAAAAAAGTCCCAACACTTATTCAGGTATTACGCTTATTATACTAAATTAAATTCAGAGTTAATTACGTTTTAAATATATTTTGAACTATAGAAAATGTATAAATATAATTTTATCGGAAAATTAATATGTTCCAAAATTAATTCTTCAATCACTATTGCAATTTATATATATGTTGTGATTTATTTTTTGTTTATCTGTTGTTGAAAAAGATATAATTGGAGGTGCAGTCGTGAAAAAGGAAAGATTGTTATTTACCTTTCAAGTAGTTGTCATTTTGAATTACTTGAAGTAAATTTACACATAAAAATTATTTATCACAGCAATATAGTATTTATAAAATGAATTCTATAATCGTGATTTTAAAAAATAGGTAGGGTTAACTATACATATTTACAACAATAATTAAAGTCGGTATGTTCTAAATCTATGGTAAAAAATATAAAACAGTCAATGAATGAAAATGAAATATGTTTTTAAAAAATAAAATATTTGCATTTTAGAATATATAATATATATTATATAAAAGACTAGCGGACATACCCGGCTTCGCCCGGGGTTTTACCCGAGTAAAGGTTTGTCTAGCGAACATTTGTTAAAACAATTCTCTATAAACTTACAAAAAAAAAAAGATATATTTTGATAATTTGAAACTCGTAAATTTGAATCTCTCGATAAAGTGAACATTTTTTCCCGGTCCCTGTGTGCCGTCTCATCCTGAATTTTGTCTTTCCTAATTTTCTACATTACAAAATCATAGTTTTATCTAGTGAACATTTTTTCCCGGTCCCTTGAGAAATACTCGATAAGTTGAATAAAATCAATATTAATTGGTTCCCTCGGTAATTGGAAGTTAAAGGAATAGTATCTTCGCCTTGGAATTGTATCATTATTCTTGTCTCAAATAAATTGCCATGTCATCCTGAGATAATCTTACTTTTGATAAATAATATTTAAGAAAAAAACTTAGTGATAATAAAACTTTTAGATAAAAAAACTTGTTATCATCGTCACAATGGGGGCGCTGCTTGCAAGTTAAATCTACAAATAACTCTAAGGATATTCAAGATATTCATGAAATTATTTTTCAAAAATTTTCCCGGGGATATACCTAATAATATCCCAAAATTTCACGGCGATTGGATGTATGGTTTTTGAATCTATAGAGTACAGACCGACAGACATTCAAATTTATATATATATATAGATGTACCTGGATCTGTAAGAAAAAAAAAACATTTTTTTCTTAAAATATTTCGAAAGATTGCTCCCTCTTTATCAATTTATTGCATTTTGATAAAGAGGGAGCAATCTCTCGAAATTATTTAAGAAAGAAAATTGTTTTTTTTTTTTTCTTACAGATCCAGGTCACCCTTTTATATAATCTTAATTAATGGATCGCCTTTTGACTCAAATTATATATATATATTTTTTATTTTCAGTGATACAGAGGCTTGTTTTCTTTGAAAAGTTTTATATAAATATTGGTAAAATAAATGATATTTTGATTCAATATATGCCTTTTTAATTAAATTTTATATCTATTTCATTCTTTTTCAACTTTTATTTCGATATACTTACTCGCGATGACATTGCAATTATTTGAAATCTTTTCTATATTTTTAAGTCATAATATGATGGCCTAATTGATTGAGAATTAGTTATATGATATTCATATAAATTTTAAATAGGTTATAAGAAAATATATTGTATAATGATATTTAAGTAATTTTGACTGAAGGGTGTAGTTTTTAGCCCTAATATATTGAAGGAGTTAAAGATAGAAAAATTAAATGTATTATTTGCTCCTTTGAAATTTTATGAAACCGATTAAAATCTTGAGGCAAATGACTAGAAAATATTACATATATAGGAAGTAAGGGATTTATAAATCAATATTTAGTTATATTACTAGTTTCATCTGTTGAAGAGCCTGTTAGCCTTCTGTAAGCTAGAAAAATAGAAAATCAACCACGAAACTTAACCCTGGTAAGATTTTGTTGATTGTATTATATTATAAATCGGGTAAAAACGTGTTTTGTAAATCATACAAATGAAAAATGTATACAGATTAAATATAATAAAAATCTATAAAAGCCTATATATTTAAGACACCTATGTGGAGAAATCCCACTGCAGATGGTAAAAGATAAATCGCACTTGTTGCAACCCACTCAGTATCTGCCCATTGATATCTAAAGTGATAAAAGGACAATTGGACTGTTTTCCTCGTCTTCCAAATCGGTTTGGTTCTACATTGAATAACCATTGTAAATTTATTAAATAGATATTTCCCATTATTCATATACATTAATATATTATTCTGAATATAGAGCAATCCATAATATAAATATATTTTAAAAATAAGGCTTATTTTGGATTGTAATAAGATTATTTATTAATACAATATTTCGATGGACCAATCGTCCATCTTTTACGAGGTTTTGTTATGAAGCGCGCAGCAGGTCGCGTGCTTCAGGTGAGCCAAGGACGTCTTGCAAGCTTATTGGCATAATATATTTGCATATAGTCGCTTTTATAAAGATAATAATATGCTATTTGTGAATAAAGGTAACCTTTTCAACGAAAATTAATAATTTTCCAACCATATCTCATTAAAGATAGTTCACTTTGCTAGAGTCTTATAATTGATTTTCATAAATATTTTGTCTTATACACTATATCATTCAAATGCAAAAAAATGCCATTTCTTTAATCGCTGGAATCGCTTCCTAGGTCGATAATGACTCCTAAGCCTAAATTTCCTCTCACCCCGGAACGGTTTTTCTAGCCGGAACAGCTGATTCGCCTGAACCAGATCTTCCGAGGTACTACCTGAAGCAGAATCAAGGCGGTCCTTGAGGTTCTATAAACAGGTTCTTTACTTCCTCAATTTTTTCCCAGCTATTGCTGAGAGACACTGTGTAACACCACACAGGTCCACAATAGAGCAATATGGTCTGAGGTGCCATTACATTTGATACTCGGACTCCAATGATAGTCATTTAATTGCAGCCTTCAATTTGCCGTTCAATCACTTCAATCCAGGCCTACTAGATAATGCCCAGCGACTATGAAAGTGAATATGCATTATTTTCAATCTTTTTTTCTTTAATTAATTCCAATTTAATTATTCCATGGTTAGCAAGGCAGACTGATCTCATAGAGAAAATCTGGGACGTGATGGGAAGCGATCCCAACCATACTGGAATAACGT